CAAGGCCTCTTTGGATCATGTCTCTGTCTGACTTCTGATGCCATCTGTCTGAAATGATTTCTAAAAACATCAAAACTCCCTGGTCCTGCCCAGCACCTTTCCCCCACCTTGCACTGCTCAGCACTGGGAAGCGTTCTGCATGGTTCCACCTGACAGACGGGCAGAATGGTGACCCAGGGGCCTGATTGCTGGTCCTATTCCTTCCTTGCAGACACAGCTTTGCATTTGTCAAGTCAGAGGAGTCTCTCATGTTTTAGAAATAGAAATCTTAGTTTAGCAACCAGAGCTATCGCTGTAGAGATGAGGGAAGTGAAGTCCAGAGAGGTTAAGTAGCTTGTCCAAGGTCAACACAGCAAAACAGTGAAGCTGAGGCTGGCATTTCTCTCGGGCCTCAGACCAGTGTTCTTCCTACTGTCCTTCTGTGGCTTCAGTTTGTAAAGGGAGGATTGCTTCTCCCCACTCCTCTCATACCCCATGGCTCTTGCAGTGAATTATGTCTACTGTCCTCATAATATTCCTCATTTCAAAGAAAACCCACTCTATGGTATAGTGCTTTCCACTTTTCCTGCTGTTTGGAAGGATGTTTTACCTGCCTGTCAGTGCTGAGCTCTGAGCTCCTTAGAGAAGGGCATTTGGTTGTTGTGAGCCATCCAGGCAGAACTGGCCGAGCTGGCCACGTGGTTTCTCCGCATCACTTGGCTGTCAGATAAGGGCCACCTGCTTATTGACTGGCACAGTGTAACTTAGGTCCAACATGCTCCCTGATGACACAGAACTTCAGGGAATTGATGTTGCTCGTCCTCAGGAACAAAAGGTACCAGAAGTTAGATGGAACTGAACAGTCAAAAAAACAAAAGTATATACCTCCCATCTCCCCATTCCCAACCCAGGAGCTGTGATCTGCCAATAGAGGATAAGTCCAACCAAGCCCCTGGGACAAAGAGAGAAAATGCTGAGCAACCAGACTTCAACAGTCATGGGGCCAAAATAAACCTTGAGATGGTTGAGAATCTGATTATCTGGATCAATTTCTCTTTTTTCTCCTTTATCCTCTTAGGACTGAACTAAACGTTCCCTTTAATGCAAACAGTATTAAGTGCCTTGTATCTAAAAAGCATGTTGGCAGGCACTGGTTGAGGATAAGAGATGAATGTTAGATTTGATAGACAGAGCTTGGGCATTGGAGACAAGAAGACCTGGGTAAGAATCCTGGCTTTGCCACTTAATAGCTGTGTGTCCTTGGATAAATGACTTAACCTTTCTGAGCCTTAATTTCAATATCTTTGTTAAATAAATTTTAAGACTGAGAAAAGTATCAGATAATTGATTTAAAATACCTAGGACAGTATTGATCATAACATAGATGTTCTGAAAATGTTTGTCATTATAATTTATATAAGCTCCTAGGAGCCCACTTTTGATCTTTTGGTAGGTCTGTACTCTTAGCATTTCTCCAGAAACCATGAAAAAAATTTCAGAGACAGTATTATTAGCTGATGTCACAGTGGACCATGCTATGGAATCAAACTCAGCTATCACAAATTTACCTGGCATAATATTGGTAGAATACACCCTAAGAATTTTTAAGCACATGGTGAATGGTGTAGATGGAATTTCTGCATTCTTTAAAAGGGTTGGATTCTAGGATGCCCTACCTCTAAGGTTTATTGATTCTTATTATTTGTTGTGGCTTCATCAATTTTGACAAATGCATTTTTTTCAGAGCCCTGTGTATCAGTCAGCTAGAGCCACAATTTTTCTGCATAGCAACTCACTCCAAACTCAGTGGCATACAACAATAAACATGCGTTTCTCGCTCATGAGTCTGTAGGTCAGCTGAGTGTTGACTGTCTAGCTATGGGTTGGGTCCCTTCTGCTCTAGATGTCTCTCACCTTCCTTGGGACAACAACTATCTGATGCAGGAGGGCCAGGGAAGGGGGTAAGCATCACCATTCAGGTGCATTGAAAGCCTCTGCTCACATCACATTCAATAACATCCCATTAGCCAGGCAAGTCACATGGCTAAGCCCCAAAGTCAAGAAGCAGACTTTCCACCCACCATGAGGCCAGAACAAGGATCTGGGTGTCTATTAATTCTGGGAAGGAGTCAAGAATTGGGGATCAATGAAACATTTTTCTACACCTCTGATGCTGTAAACTATTGCTAGAACGTTATCCCCTTTCTGATCATTTAAGGAGATTGTCCTTTGGATCTAGCTGTAACCTCTGACGAGTGATCTACCTCTTGGTACCTTGTGGGCCAACATAAGAGGATAGGTCTTCTTCTTTAGTAGACAGGTCCTTTTAAGATTCAATGGTGTGATAAAGCAACTAAACAGAGCAGAGGAAAAAACAATCATGGAGATGTCCTCTGTCAGTTTTTAAATCCAGTCCACATCAGAACAGACTGGAACCTTTACCAACTAATGTCAAGTCAGGGGTCTAACTGAATTGAAATATTGGCTTTCCTCCAATTCCCAGTGATTTTCAGGCCATTTCATAAAAAGCAGCAATGTAACTGATACTTCTGGTTTCACATAGCACACTAGATCAAAAGCATAGATTACTTTGAAAATCTGATCATTTTTCTAGGAATAACTCTCCTTAACTATCAATAAGTAATAAATACTCAAACTACTGTGAATCGTTGAGTTGAGTTTAGAGGACAAAAGGTGGGGCTCTAGCTGAGACTATTAAAAAGAATGTGGATGAAATTCCTCCTTATCCTGTCATCTAACAGAATGCAGGTCTTCAGAGAATGACCCTTTTTCCTGGTGTGATATATTCAACCACTGCCTAAGGGCAGGGAGCTTAAGATTGCTTCTCACTATCAGTTCTTCTCTGGGAAACCAAGAAATATCCAGGGGAGAATGGTCTTCCTGCTTGGCTGCTCCTCTGAGACTCTTACTGGGTGACAGAGGACCCCAGGGTTTAGAAGCCTGATCTCTGGGATGTGTGGCTGGGTTCAAGCTCAGATCCACCGCTGGGTAGCTGTGTGACCTTGGGAAGGTGGTTTAATCTCTGTGCTGTCACTGATGCTGCTCACAGATGGTCCTCTCCCCTCTCTTCCTGGCACCCAGAAGACTGGACCCCCTGGTTCCTTTGTGGTTGGGTGGTGACTCGTCCTGTCCAAAGAAATGTGATATTATTATAGTAACGTCTGGGCTATAACATGCAACAACTCATGCAAGAGTCTCCAGAATTCTCTCTTGTCTCTCTAACACAATGAGCAACAACATTCAAGATGGTGGCTACTCCGTCAGCCTCGGTCCCAGGGTAACTACAATGAACAGAGTCCTCCTGGTGATCTCCGATAGACTTGTAGCATGAGAGAAAAATAAACTTGGTTACATTAAACCATTGTGATTTCGAGGGTTATTTGTTACCACAGCTTAACTTAGTCTACCCTGATGGATACACCTCACTAAATCTCAGCTTCTTTATCTGAAAATGGGGATAATAGTGGAATCTAGGCTATGAAGTAATCATGGGAATTAAATAGGATAATATATCTATAGTCCTTAGAATCATACCTACATAATACATTCTTAATATATTTTGGCTATTATATATTATCATTATTATTATGTTATATCTTATGCTAACTTTGTCTCTAACAAGTTACCTATTTCTTTCAAATAAGTTGTTAGTCATGTGATTTGAGAAACTTACTCACAAATTGCTATACTAGTACATTAGACTAGGTGAACTCCAGCTTTAAATGTCTAGACTTAAAATTATGTGACTCTACTCTGGAAGCACTCAGAGAATCCATCCTGGTGTTTCAAATACATCCTGTTGCTCAGGGGAACAAAATATGTGACAAAACTAAGCACCATCTTCTTCCCTTTTCCAGTTGCCCTTCCCTACCACTCAACAAACAAAAAGATCTATGTCCTTTTTACAGTTTGCTCTGTATCCTATTCCGAAGATTTCTGCCCAGGAAATTGCATCTGGCTTGTAAATTCTCAGCTATAGATTGGTTTCCCAGTTTAGGCACCTACCTCCTTGGTAGTCCATCTCCTCTCTCTGTTCTGTTTTCAGTCTATGTACACAGTATCTTGTCTCGTCAATACAATTTCACCTGGCTCCAAGCCGTAGCCCACCATGGTCTTTCTCATGATAGTGTGGTCTTCTCTAGTCCAAAAGGAGAGGATCCTGTTTTTTTTTTTTTGGTACGCGGGCCTCTCACTGTTGTGGCCTCACCCGTTGCGGAGCACAGGCTCCGGACGCGCAGGCTCAGCGGCCATGGCTCACGGGCCAAGCCGCTCCGCGGCATGTGGGATCTTCCCGGACTGGGGCACGAACCCGTGTCCCCTGCATCGGCAGGCGGACTCTCAACACTGCGCCACCAGGGAAGCCCGAGGATCCTGTTCCTGTTCCATCTTAGTCCTGGCTAAAGTCCTGGCTAAAGATGACCCCCCTCGTGCCACCACGTGACACTTGTCCTCCAACTTCTCCAGATCAGCACTTTCCATATCTTGATTTATACTCTTTTGTTTTTTCCCCGATGTGACTCTGGCTGAATCCTTCTCTGGTCCCAGAGGCAGCCCCGCCTATACTTCTAACAGCAGCATGTTAATATGTTAGGTTAAACTATAGGAAATTGCCATTTTTAGGTTGAATGTGGAAACTTCATATGGTTCAACCTATATATAAACCCAATTCAGGAAAGAGGAGGAATTTCGTCACATACATATTGAATTGCATGTTGGATCCAATCCTGTCAAGAATTTCTTTCTCCTTACTTGCTGAACTGGGAGCAAGCGGTTGTTCTTACAGACCATGCTTTATGCTATTATATGTAACCCCCTGGCCTCCCTCTCCCCAGCACTTGGCCCATAGCAGATCCTGCTACTAAGTTTACTGGCTGAGGCAGAGGCTTTTCCTAATATCTCTTATTGGCATCCATGTGCCCACATTTTGGCTGTTTATAAAGGTACTGTTTACTATTACTTTGTGAGATACAATAACACTTCTTTGCTTTCCTCTCTTTCAGATTGAAGACATCATTACAAAGATGCAAGATGACAAGACAGGTGGTGTGCCTATCAGAACAGTCAAGAGCTTTCTCTCCAAGATCCCCAGTGTTGTCACAGGTAAATGTTCTCCTTACAAGATGTTGATGGCAACAAGGAAGTGTTGCTGAAGTGTTGTGTAGCTTTGACTGTGACCTGGGAGGTGTCTAATAGTTCGTGAATAGCAAAGATGATATGTTCACTGTGCTTCTTATATAAAGTCAAGCTCTGATCCTGGTTTCTAGGAAGAAGCTACTGTTTGCCAGTCATTAAGAATGGTCTAACCATGACCAGCCTATGGTTGAGGCTTCTGGAAAGAAACAAACTCAATAATAAACTGGCTAGCCCATCAGCCATTTGGCCTATGGGGTGTACACAAGTGCAGAAATACTAAAGAAATTATTTTAGTTTTAAACAAGCTTTAAAAAAAGTCTTATGGGGCTTCACTGGTGGCGCAGTGGTTGAGAGTCCGCCTGCTGATGCAGGGGACACGGGTTCGTGCCCCGGTCTGGGAAGATCCCACATGCCGCGGAGCGGCTGGGCCCGTCAACCATGGCCACTGAGCCTGCGCGTCTGGAGCCTGTGCTCCGCAACGCAAGAGGCCACAACAGTGAGAGGCCCATGTACCGCCAAAAAAAAAAAAAAAAGTCTTATATTCAAATTCTACAAAATGCTTTAAAGTGTTTTAACTCATTGTACTTGAACTCTTGAAAGAAGTGGTTTTAAAATGTTTTTCTGCATTACTTTGGGGTTTTTGTGTGTTTTCTGTGCTCAAATATCTCTTTAAAAATTGTTAATTGTGAAATCTATCAAACACATTGGTATAGTTTCAAGAAGAATAGAACAGGTCACATGTACCACCATGCCGCTTCATAAAGAACACATCCTCAGTACCTTAGATCCTCTAGGGAACGTAGTGGATGGCATCTACCTCCTCTTCCACCAGAGGAACCACTATCTACTTTTATATTAAGCAAATTGTTGCTTTTCCTCACAATCTTTCCACATAGATGTGTATCCTTTACTATCCAAACCAATAACCAAATAAATTAAGATAAAATTTTAGATGATTCCCTAACTATCAAAATCTAGCTATTTGCTTTCCCATTTGGGGGAAACAAAAGGACTAAGTTTCTACTGCACACCAATAGAATGGCTAAAATAAAAATGCTGACAATACCAAGTGTCAGTGAGGTTATGGAGCAACTGGAACTCTCATATGCTGTTGGTGGGAAGGTAAAATGATGCAGCTACTCTGGAAGTTTCTTACAAAGTTAAACATATCCTTACCATGTGACCCAGCAATCCCACTCCTAGGTACTTATCCAAGAGAAATGAAAACTTACCTTCAGACAAAAACTTGTCAATATTCGTAGAAACTTTATTCATCATCTCTAAAGACTGGAAACAACCCAGATGTCCTTCAGTGGGTGAATGAATAAACAGACTGTGGTACATCCATATCCAGCAATAAAAAGGAGAGAACTATTGATGTATGTACCAACTTGGATTAATCTCGAAGTCATTTGTCTGAATGAAAAAAATCCATCTCAGAAGGTTAGATACTATATGAATCCATTTGTAGGACATTCTAAAAAATAAATAAACCAAAACAAAATAACTATAGTGATAGAGAATGGATCAATAGTTGCCAGGGATTGGGAGTTGGGGGAGTTTTGTAGTGACATAACAGTTCTGTATTCTGATTGGGTTAGTGGTGGTGACATGAATCTATACATAGGTCAAGATTCATAAAAAAAAACACCAAAAAAAAAAAAAAAAAAAGAGTCAGTATACTATATGTTACTTTAAAAAATAAATGTACTCAGTTGAGATACCCATAAGTATCCCAACTTATTATTCAGACTGTCACTGTCTGAACTCAAGTACCAAGTAGATTTGGATAATGAAAGATGCTTGCATTCTTAGTATTCTCTCATTCTGAAATTTATATAAATGGAATTATACCCTAATATTGGCTAGTATATATTATACTTTTTCACTCATTTCTGGATTTTGCTTGATAAAATGTTGTTCAGGATTTTGTATCTATTTTCATGGGCAAGATTGGTCTGTTGGTTTTCTTATTTACCCTGCTTGCTGGTTTTGGTACCAAATTTATGCTAGTTTCAGTACCAAATTTATGCTAGTTTCATAAGATGAACAATGGCATATATCTCTTTCATTGACATTGTGGTGTTCTCTGAAAAATAATTTTACCTTTAGTCTAGCTTTCAGGTGTTTATTTCAATTATCCTATTTTTATTTATTAAAGTTCCATCTGGTTCTTCTTTCAGTATACCTGGTCATTCACTCAACAAATATTTACTGGGTATTTACCATTTTCTAAGCATTGTTGGGCACTGGGGATTCAGAAGTAAATGAAACAGGTCAGAATTTCTGCTCTCATGGAATTTAGATTCTAGTAGCGGAGATAAAATAAATAAGGAAAATTTGCAGAATTTCCACAGTGATAAAGACCAATGAAGAAAATAAGTATGAAAAGGGGATAGGAGTGTTAAAATTTTGGAACTAGTGGCCAAGCAAGAACTTCCTGAGAAGGTAACATTTGAGTAAAGATGGACGGAGATGAGGGGTTACATTATGTGGATATTGAGGGAACAAACATTCCCGAAAGCCAGTGCTAAAACTCCAAGGCAGGCATGTTCCTGGTGTTTTGAGGAACTAAGAAGAGGGAACTAGAATAGAGTGAAGAAAAGAAAGGATAATAGAGATGAAGTCAGAGTGATAATGGTGAGCTAGATCGTGTAGCGTCTTGGTCATTATAAGGCCCCCGGAGGACTTTGAGCATGGGGTGACATGCTCTGACTTATATTTCAACAGGATCACTCTATTGCCTTGTATGTACTCTGGGGAGTTGGGAGGTTAAGCACCAGATAGGAGGCTATTGTAAAAATGGTGACTCAGACTAGGCTGTCAGCATTAGAGATATGTGAAGTGGTCAGATTCCAATTCAAGCTTAAAGGCAGAATAGTATTTGCGGATAGATCTGATGTAGAATATGAGAGAAAGAAAGGAATTGATGATGACTCCACACTTTCAGGCTTGAGTGACTAGAAGAAAAGAGTTGCGGGCTTCCCTGGTGGCGCAGTGTTTGAGAGTCTGCCTGCCAATGCAGGGGATCCGGGTTCGTGCCCCGGTCCGGGAAGATCCCACATGCCGCGGAGCGGCCGGGCCCGTGAGCCATGGCCGCTGAGCCTGAACGTCCGGAGCCTGTGCTCCACAGCGGGAGAGGCCACAACAGTGAGAGGCCCGCGTACCGCAAAAAAAAAAAAGTGTCAGAGGAGCAGGAGGAAATGACTAAGGGAAAAAGAGGAAGGAAGGCAAAACTGAAAAAAAAAAAAAAAAAAAAGAACAGAGTTGCCATTAAGTTCAATGACAAAGACTGTGAATGGGGCAGGGGGGTTGTTTGTTTAGCTGAAGTATAAGAAATGAAAAAATTTATTTTCATTTTTATTTTTTAATTGAAGTACAGTTGATTTACAATGTTGTGTTAGCTTCAGGTGTACAGCAAAGTGATTCAGTTATACATATATATGTATATTATTTTATTATTATTACAAAATATTGAGTTATTACAAAATATTGAGTTCCCTATGCTATACAGTAGGTCCTTGTTGGTTATTTATTTTATATACAGTAGTGTGTATATGTTAATCTCAAACTCCTAATTTATCTCTCCCTGCCCTTTCCCCTTTAGTAACCATAAGTTTGTTTTCTATGTCTGTGGGTCTATTTCTGTTTTGTAAATAAGTTCATTTGTATCATTTTTTTTTTAGATTCCACATGTAAGCAATATTATATGATATTTGTCTTTGTCTGGCTTACTTCACTTTGTATGATAATCACTGGGTCCATCCATGATGCTGCAAATGACTATTTCATTCTTTTTTATGGCTGAGTAATATTCCATTGTATATGTATGTGTATGTGTGTGTGTGTGTGTGTGTGTATATATATATATATACCATATCTTCTTTATCCATTCATCTGTCAGTGGACACTTAGGTTGCTTCCATGTCTTGACAGTTGTAAATAGTGCTGCAGTGAGTATTGGGGTGTATGTATCTTTTTGAGTTATAGTTTTATCCAGATATATGCCCAGGAGTAGGATTGCAGGATCATATGGTAACTCTATTTTTAGTTTTTTAAGGAACCTCCATACTGTTCTCCATAGTGGCTGCACCAATTTACATTCCCACCAGCAGTATAGGAGGGTTCCTTTTACTCCACACCCTATCTAGCATTTATTATTTGTAGACTTTTTGATGATGGCCATTCTGCCCAGTGTGAGGTGATTCCTCATTGTAGTTTTGAATTTCATTTTTCTAATAATTAGTGATGTTGAGCATCTTTTCATGTGCCTCGTGGCCATATGTATGTCTTCTTTGGAGAAACGCCTATTCAGATTTTCTGCACATTTTTTGATTGGGTTGTTTCTTTTTTTGATATTGAGTGGTATGAGCTGTTTGTGTATTTTAATCCCTTGTCAGTTGCATCATTTGCAAATATTTTCTCCATTCAGTAGGTTGTCTTTTCGTTTTGTTTTATGGTTTCCTTTGCTGTGCAAAAGCTTTTAAGTTTAATTAGGTACCATTTGTTTATTTTTGTTTTTATTTCCATCATTCTAGGAGATGGATCCAAAAAGATATTGCTGCAGTTTACATCAGAGAGTGTTCTGCCTTTGTTTTCTTCTAGTAGTTTTACAATATCTGGTCTTACATTTAGGTCTTTAATCCATTTTGAGTTTATTTTTGTATATGGTGTTAGAGAACGTCCTAATTTCACTCTTTTACATGTAGCTGTTCAGTTTTCCCAGCACCACTTATTGAAGAAACTGTCTTTTCTCCATTGTATATCCTTGCCTGCTTTGTTGTAGATTAATTGACCATAAGTGCATGGGCTTATTTCTGGGCTTTCTAACCTGCTCCATCTATATATCTGTTTTTGCAAAAACTTAATTTTTAGACATGTCAAATTTTAGGGACCTATTATACATTCAACTGGAAATAACAAGTAGGCACTTGGGTTTGTGGATCTAGATTTTTCAGGGAGAGTCT